TGTTTTATCTATCCACGAAATTAGAATTGAACGATACCGCACGTACTGCATTCTCAGAGATCAAAACGGCTCTCGCTGAAGTTACACTCCTCGCTCATCCTGACCCATCAGCCACGCTTAGTATAGCGGTTGATGCATCAGATTTCGCTATAGGAGCCGTTATGCAACAGAACATCTCCGGTAGTTGGCAACCGCTTGAATTTTTCTCACGACGCCTTACTCCCACGGAGACGAGATATAGCGCTTTTGGTCGCGAGCTGCTTGCAGCCTACTGCGCCATCAAACATTTCCGGCACGCAGTAGGACGCCAATTCATTTTATTCACCGACCATAAGCCCTTAACGTATGCCCGGCATACCAAGTCTGACCGCTACTCACCACGAGAGTGCAGACATTTGGACTATATCTCACAGTTCACGACAGACCTTCGTCACATTAAAGGCGAGTCGAACTATGTTGCCGATGCTCTATCACGTATCCAGACGAATGCAGTTACCTTACCGGTGCTCGATCTTCCTGCTATGGCCGCCGCACAAGCAAACAATCCTGTCTGTACAGAAGCACCACAATCTTCGTCCCTTCAGTGTCAGGAAGTACCCCTAGCTACTAGCTCAGGTACTATCCTATGTGATACGTCTACCGGTCTTCCTCGACCCATCGTACCCTCTACCTATCGCCGTCTCGTCTTCGATGCCCTTCATGGATTGTCTCATCCAGGTATCGCAGCCACATTACGTCTCATCGCTGCACGATACGTCTGGCCGTCCATGAATAAAGATGTTCGTATGTGGGTAAAACAATGCTTACAGTGTCAACGATCAAAAGTGCACAGGCACGTAGCTGCCCCCATTGGCACGTTCGCTACGCCTGATGCTCGCTTTGATCACGTTCATATAGACATTGTAGGACCATTGCCACCATCGCATGGGTATGATCACATACTCACGTGCATTGACCGTTTTACAAGATGGCCCGAAGCTATTCCCATCACGTCTATCACGGCGGAGACAGTTGCTCACCGCTTCGTAGAACGATGGATAGCATTGTACGGTTGTCCCTCGACTGTCACGACTGACCGAGGACAACAATTTGAGTCCGCATTATTCTTTTCACTGACCCGGCTGCTTGGTACGGAGCGCATACGCACCACCGCCTACCATCCAGCATCGAATGGTTTAGTCGAAAGGTTTCATCGCCAACTTAAAAGTGCTCTCCGAGCACACGAAAACGACAATTGGTAAGAAACCTTACCGCTCGTTCTCTTAGGCATCAGAACGAGTTTGAAGGCAGATATCCAATGTTCCGCCGCTGAACTTGTATACGGCACGACATTGCGTCTGCCTGGGGAATTCTTCACACCACGGAGCAGTAACGATTTCGGTAAATCAGACTATGTCCATCGACTGTCTGCATTTATGCGAACGCTGTCTCCGGTGTCAACTCGAATGCAACATCGACAGGTCGCTCTCCCTCGAGAGTTATCTACCTGTTCACATGTTTTCATACGAGTAGATTCGGTACGCAGACCTCTACAACAGCCTTACGAAGGCCCTTTTCACGTGATCTCTCGTCACGAAAAGGCCTTCAAGGTTGATCGACACGGCCGCGTCGAGATCGTCAGCATTGATCGTCTCAAACCAGCACACGTCGACGACAGTGCCCTACCCGATAACTTGAGACTCAATGCTAGACCTATCAAACCTTCTAGCGGGATCTCTACGTCTACCTCGGATCCCACGCTAGATACATCAGAGACCTCGTTCTCACGTCCCGGTCAACAGCACGCGTCATCTGCACCATCTACGGACGAGACTTCCGTCTCACGTCCAGATCAGCAGACCACGCCGCCCTTGACCTCGGATGAGATCGCAGGCTCACGAAGTACGAACGAGACCACCGTCTCACGTTCCGGTCCCCGAGTACGATTACCCGTACGCTTTCGCGACTAACCGCACAGTCAATAATGGATACGGTGTAGGATTATTCCTATACTACACGCATGCTACACTTTTCTTTTTTTGATTTTTTTCTGTATCCTGAGCCCACGCCTCCGACCATCGTCCATTTGATAACGTCGACTTCAGTCAACTTTGGCGAAAGCTGGTTTGGCCACCCACGCTCTAGTCAACGCACTCAGTCGATTATCTGGTCTCGAATTCGCCTGGCATACGCTTGGTCGTTATGGTCGCGCCCGGTTTCTTGGCTCAACGTGGTTTCGTCCTACGTCTGCAGCGTTTTCTGGTTCACATCCCTACGAACGCAATCATCAGATTCTGGATACAAACCACTCTGGTGTGGTATGCTAACTCGACCAACAAATACAGCACACTTCTCCTGGTACGGTTCTGCGCAAAAGACTTTCGTTGGCAACTCGAGGATCAACGATCACTTCCTGTTCCGCCAATTTCCTCCGTCCTACAACCGCAATTCTACCGATCAGTCCCACGAATTAAACCGCTAACTATCGAAAGTGTAAACCCTTTCTAGCGGGGGGCTCCTGTAGTGACCTCATTTTGTCAACAGAACGCGATTGGTTCGATGAAAACAATTATTATTATAACCAATTGTACCAGTGACTGTATTACTGTGCTCGTTTGTTTAACTGTGCTAGTGACAGCCATTATACTTACACTCTCCCGTTGACTTTGAACTTGTACGAATTCGGTTACGCTCAGTAACCACGCTTGTACTCTTTTGGCACGATCTCGGTATTCTTTCGATACCACGAGATCGCCAACAAATACATCTCGACTACAGCCATCATCTGCCTTCTGAATTTTGGCCTACCGGAATCTTATTGGTCTATTGGCAAGTAGTCTTGTAGCGGTGTTCATAGTCAAGCTCAACTCGACACCACGCTACAAACTTAAGAAGAAGACGTGCAATCAATTACAATCACCTGGACTCCAATTTAAGCTGTAGTGGATGTGGTGTTTGAATGAAATAATGATTGCTTTGTACTTGTTGAATGTTTGATTTTGAATTCTAAGTACAGTACATTCGTTAGTGTTTATGTAGTACTTCCTGATTCAATTGCGTTATCTCTGGGATTCTTAGTTCATAGTATAATTCAATTACTCCTAATTTTCATACAAGGTCAAAGTGTGGTTTAAAGAGAATGAACAGATTGGTTTGCTGAAGGCTAGAATAAACTATTGTAAAGCCAGTAGAATGTTACTAAGCCCTCGCCAGATCATCTGGCAGTTGGATCACTGAATATTGAACAGCTCATCGATCCTTGCCAAGGTCAGGGACAACCGACGCGCACCAGTTAATCGTATTCCATGGACTCGCTCATGCGAAGGTGGTATTATTTTCTCTCGTATCTAATTTAACAAATACATTTCTGTAATAACGTCCTTTGTGTTGTTCAGTCGTCAAAGCATCCGTAGTAACTTGATACGTCCACGTGCTGACATTAAGTGTGACTTCGACGTTAGGTGGTTCTTCCCACCGTTCCCGTCCAACTCGATTACGCATCCAATCATTCGATATAGATCATCTACGCTGGTGATCTACACCATGTGAGTTTAATCTAGCACATGACGTCACACTATCTCCCACACAGTTGTTAACTTGATGTGATATAATATTTCAAGTGTCTTGAGAATTAGACGTATGATCAGTATGTGAACCTGTATACCATGTAAATTCGGATGCCCTGTCAAAACACAGAGACGGCTAAACAGGTCACCCATATTTCAAAGAAAATGATAAATTCAAAACTAGTGACAATAAATCATTGTTGAGTATTAGAATGATGTCGAAAATCACAAACAAACAGATGTCACAAATTAAACTGAATGACAATAACACTATTTTCCTATGAAGCCTCGGTGAATAAATGACATATTGACTGCACAATTAAATGTTTTGTGTTGTGATGAAACATATCACAATAATACAACACAACTTCATATCGCCTACTGTAGATCACCAACGTAAATGATCTGTGTCGAATGATGGGAAGCCCACTCGAGTTAGAGGGAAAGCTAACTTCGAAGTCACATCTTGTTGCCAGAACCTAACCTTTGGTCGTATCAAGGTACTATGGATCGTATAACACAAAGCATATGATAGAAAAATGTTATTAAGGGTAGATACAACGAAGAGATTGAAACCACCACTCAAAGAGCCAGTTCATAACGTGCGGTTTATTGATACATGTCAGTTGTCCTTGAACTTGTCGAGAATCAGTGAACTATTTAATATTCAGTGACCCGACTTCCAGATAATTTAGCTAGGGCCCAGTGACATTTCACTGGCCCTACATTACTTCGATTTTGTGTTCTTGACTGTTTCTCGTCAAAGTTCTAGACACATTAGAGATATCAGTATTTCTTTAGCTTAGTTTAAATTCACATCTGCCGTCACAGTAAAAACGGACACAAGGAAATCCTTTGTCAATGAGTCTCTGTGGAAACTGGGATATTATATGAAATGTCTTGATGCTTAGTGACAATCAAGTATCCTCAAGGAAGATAGCGTTTCAGGTCATTTCATTAATGTTATCGGTAAAGAAGCTTGTAGGCTATGAGGGAAAATAGTATATCCTGACAAACTCATTCAGCCTTCGTTTAGCATACTAAGGAAACCACTAATAGATCACTGTTAGTTAACCTTATTGTAAAAACATAAGACAGCTCAGTTGGACAAAATATTTCGTGCCTAGAGTCAGACTACTAGAATTTTCATGCTACAGCGTCAGACGCAAGTATATTTGATGAACAAATAGTCCTATTTGTTAAACAGGTTTTGGTTTCATTCACATCTTTTATTATTACTAATTTGTACAATTACCATTTTTGATCGTAAAGTCGTTGCTTAAATATAACTTGGCCGTTTGTCTCCCGTTCTTGTTTTGAGTTCTCATTGCATGACACATCGATCAACACTCAAAAATACGCTGGCAAACACATGTGTGTCGCTGTTACTTGAATAAATGAAACAATTGAAAGAGACAAGTGTTTTCGTTTGTCCATCTAAGTGTTAAGCATCTCAAGGTCAAAAGCACGAAACTAAAGTATGTGGGCTGTTTAAAAGCGACGTTGTTGGCACACTTGTTATTGAGGATGTTCGCAGTTTCCTATTGAGACGCTGTTGTTATTGATGTAGTTGATTGTCAATTAATTTTTTATTTTTATGTTACTACTATAGTACCAGAATGTCACTAGCTGTGTTATGTTTGTTAGGAATATTATTTGTAGTATTACGTTATATATTTATGTATTATTCCTTTGTTAATATTGTGTTTATTTTCAACATTTTTAATGTTTATTCGGACAATCACACTCATCGCTTGATTGTTTATCTATTCATAGTTCACTTCTCTCCACAGAGACTTCCTAGATGGTATTAGTGAGGAAGTCATCACTTCAAATATGCTTTGAATCTCTTATAGGACGGCATTTAATGACTGTTGATAGCGAGTGTTTCGGATCAATTATGTTTTATAGAACACAAAGTCAGCAATAGCTCTGTTTAGAAGCTGTTTCGATCTTTGTTGAATTATCCTTGTACTTTATTTACTTCGAAGTAACTAGCTGTGAAGTATATGAACGTGGATAGTAAAACGAATATGAGTCGGTAAAGAACATATACGCTATCAGTTAGATAAATGCTTGTGATCATTCTATACAATATTGATAACATTCAGTTGCAACGTATAGGTTGGTACAAATGCACTTCAGCCCATTTTTACAGGTACCACGAACTCTCAAAAGTCGATATAGTGCAATACCAACCAGTTGTTTTTTATTCACATATTATTTAATTGAAAAGAGATTAGTAGGTGTTTGCGTTTGAGGATTATCACTGATGCCTGAGCTGACCGTCCCCACCTCTTTACATTACTCCTATTCGTATGATAACTTCTCACTTTGCATAAGTTTCCGTCGTTTTTAATCGTAGTCTGTTAAGCTAAAGTTGAAGTGTTCAAACTGTATAGCTTCAACTTAGTTGGCTGGAATAACCTAATTGTAAGTTGTCATACATATAAATAAAATAGACCAGGAAGCTGTGAGCATAAAATACAAAACTAGTCGGCTAGCTATTCCACCATATTATTTTACATTGAGCTTCTATGTTTCTGCATTTTAAAGATTATTTACGGCTCCCAAATCTTGTATGAAAGCTCATAAACGTAGTTTAAATTGTGGCAAAAACAGTGTTGCGTGCTATCATATATCAGAAGTTAAATCTCACAATTTTCAATTGTTAGCCTAAGGGCTTGAATTTTACCTTACCTTAATAATTTTGTAGTACTACCAACTCAAAATGTTTAAATCAAAATATCAAACTGAACTTGGTTACTGAGTTTCAGTAGATAAAATTAACGGCTACAGTTCAATGGATTTTCTATCAATAACTATATCGATATAGTTACTTTTTAATCACAATACAAATGAGTCAGTTTTTGTACTATTGATTGCGTTTTCCTGTCACATAGTGTACCCTGATAACCTAGTCAAAATTTCTTTGGTTCTCTATGCATAAAACGTCATAGTTAGCACCTTTTCTCGATGATTCTTTCCAGTTGCTTTATTTCTTTATGCGATACTTGTGACCTACTCAAGTCCTTACAATAAGTAAAATACCCCAAGAATACTTAGCCATCTCTCCCATACACAGGTCTAGCGTTTTGTGATAATTTCTTTATCTCTTTGATTGCATACATTTTTCAGCTTTGTTGCCATTTTTATTTCTTTTTGCTCTATGTTTTGATTGAATTCTGAAGCCATCAAATATCTCTGTAATCAAATGTAAGTTGGTATACTCTTATGGTTTCTTATGCGACAGAAATGCACGCTTCTCCTGGTTGTGAAGTGCCACATAATAAACAGCCTCAAAATTCATCTGATTCTTATGGGAACAAAAAAACCTGTGAGTTCTTTTCGCAATGTAACAACTGTTGCTTCATTACTTTAAAAGTTTATTGGTCGATTATTAGTTTAGTAATGACACTGTAATCGTTGAACTAATGGTTTCGGTATGAAAAAGACCATGTTAACTACCGGCGAGTTTATTGAATAGTCGATACTACAATGACAAACTAATTAGAAACCTGAGTAACCGTCTTTTTGTTATATAGAGTCCTACTCAGCAGTAGGTACAATCCTATTGGCTTTGTGATTTCTTTTTTAGGGAATCTTATTGTTATGTTTAACAATTCTAATTGATAGCTTTTACCAAACATACAGTTACATCAAGATAGTGGTGGTCAAAATCCTTTTGGTTGGAGATTTGTTTTCGTTCGACAAGTTTACTTCGAATATTTGTAAGTTATATAATCGTCTTGTGAAGTTCTATAACATGATCCTCCAAAATAGAAGAAAGTAGTATTATTTACAATTACGAACTAACTCTTGCCCTTCCACAGTGAAATATCTGTTCCTATTAAGCTGGTAGAATCATGTACATTAAATAAGTTATAAACAAAGATGGATAATAGGTAGCAGGCAAACTCAGGATCTGTGTTCCATCCCATTAGAGACTAGTCAGCTGGATGTGGCTGCATCCCAGAGTTGATTTTTGCTTCCGGGCTCGGACCAAGCACCGTTCACGTGAAACTATCGCGCTATCCACTTAGCTACTGACTTGCATATTAGGATGGGTGACCAATTACAGTCATGATCATTATTAGAAAGATTTAAAAAACAACCAATACAAATGAATATTGAGTTGATGTTCATAAATATTTTCTCTTCTTGTGCATTTGTTAATGCTGTTTCAATCTTTGTTATTCTCTAGCATCTACACATTCCACCAATAATTATAAAAGTTCATTCGAAAGAACTAATCATCCACCAATATCTCAATCAGTTCCATCTTGTTCAGATATGAATCCTGTAACAAGCCAACTTCAACAACAACATTCACAGTACCGTTATTCAGATCCATATAGTTTCCTACGTCAGCCAGAGTCTAATCCACGGACGCTTGCTAATTCTGATACTATGAATTGTGTCCCTTCAATTTATACAAGCCCAGAATATAATTTAAACAGTCCAGAGTTATGCACACAGACCAATCATTTACAGTCTTATTTACATCGTGTATCTTGTTGCTTGCCTCAATGTCCACAATGTCTTTCTTACAATCTTTTCGCTCAATCTTATAATTTTCCAAACAATGGAACAGCTCTACAACCACCTTTAGTATTGTCTCCAACTATGCTGAATAACTACTCAACTTCAGCACTGTGTTGTCCATCAGCTTCTCAAATACCATATTATTTTTGGTACAACCAGGATCCTGAATACCAAAAACAATATTATCAAACTCAATTAGCTATGTCTAAGTTGAATCTGGACCATTCGTCTCCAAATACATGTATGATGGTACAATCGGGACCAGATCCTATGCATGGATCTGTGCCAAATCAAGCACATCAAACTGAGGCAAATTATTCTACAGACCCAAATGCTTTTTCTTCAGTAAGTGTATTAAATAACATCATATTTGCAAAAGTATATTTCAGTGTGTTCAGGTTTAACAGGTTGACGAAGCTGGATTCGAAACACTGGTCATTTTTTAGTGTGAAGTACATTAGTTGTTTATTAATTGAAAATAAAAACTATCTGAAACATTCAAAAAGAGATAGTACAATCACATTCGTTATAGTATTTTAAAATCAAGTGGAAATTCGGATTCAAATTCTTGATTTCAACGTGAAGTTTTATGCGTTGCGTTTGCGGTTTTACCTCAATTCAACTTGATTGATTAATGGTATGATGGGAACAAAGAAACACCACTTGTTACTTTGTTATTTGTTTATTTGAACACATAAATATTGGTACAATGGGGCACCAAATATAAATGCGCAACACCATCATGTTTTTGTGTGTGGGCTGCCCAGACCGAAGCAGGCGGTTTTCTTAGGGGGCCACACCCCGAGCCTTCGACCTAAAGATCTAACCCACAAGGCAGTGGAGCATTGTGAGAAGATGCAGTCCCATGTAAGCTGGTGATCAAGAAATTTTTCATACGCCATTTGTTCATTCAGGATACTGGAGCCCATGTGCATCCTTGATTTGGGGTCCAGTTAAAGCGCCGGACGTTCGCTTTTCGTCCTCTCATTTTCGTAAACAACACCCGTGATGCAAGAAGGCAGTGAGTAGGACTTCCCTGGCAGAGGCTATATACGCGTGGCCATGTGAGAGCATTTCGAGAGGGAGGGCGGACCCACCCCACTCCCGGCCATACCAGGGCATTTGGGGGCAGTTACTTTGTTACTTTTATTCATATCTTTTATTAAACACTTTTTTGACTACCAAACAACTTAATAATACTACCCTAATTTAATATTTTCCATAAAAATAGCGACTTAACGTCAGAACTAATACAGAAACGCTTCATTAATATAGTGATGAAATATCTAGTGTGTTTATCAATCCACATCTGAACACGGAATCATACACACTTTCATATATATCAGCCAGAAAATGTGGATACAGAGAAAATAATGTTGAAAAAGTCAGCTCACATTGAGACTTGAAATATTATGGTCGCTGTTTAGCTCGTGATATTAGACAGCATACTCATGAAGTGGAAACATTTGTAATGAATCGGTACTGAAGTCTCAGGTTCGAATATTGTTTTTAGTAATACCAAAAATAGGATGTTTGGGTGGAACAAAAGTGTTGTGAATGTATTCCGATAGCATCCTTCAATCACGAATCTTCTACCATTCCGATCTTCCCACTAGCACTGATTGGTTGAAAGGTAGACCAATCAGCGTTACTCTGGCTTTAATATGTATTAAGCGAATCTCTTACTAAGACGATTAGTGTTCATGTCACTTTCTAAGATGTAATAGAGTAAACATATGCTACTTTGCGTATTTGGCTAAACCAAAATACTACATGTCGATAATTCTACACTAGAATCACGCTTAGCTGTAAGCAACGCATATAAATTACCATGATTCATAGGTGAGCCGACACAATTTCGAAGGACTAAACTACTAGACAACAGACCGAATATATTGTGAAATTTGAGATTCAATGTATGTACCATGATATCTAACCAAGATAGCATTACTAAGTTCTTTATCACATAACTAATGACTAATCAAAGATAGAAATAAATTTCGAAATTCCAGCCAAGAACTGTTTACTTTTAACCATCGTTATTAAACTACCGATGCCCAACAATCTGAGCAAATTCAGGTATTTAGTTTTTAAGCTACACGTTTTATTTAACTGTTAGCAACAGTGTTTCAGGTTCTAACTGAATCAGATGGAGAATATCTGGAATCTGAGACTGAGTGATAGAACGTTTAGTGCTTAATTCACCAAATTATAACTACTTCATATAGAGATTGAAATGATCGTCAGACCTGTTTCTTAAAAAAAATAGAACTGAATAAATGCTTATTTGCACAACTTACAATCTTTATCTAATTAAATATGTGTTTTATTATATAACACAAGCAGAATGGTCAATTGGATATGGTTATAATAAGCTTAAACCAATGGTTTAATAGTTTTGTGCTTTCAAACTTCTGTCAATCGGACTAGATTCAGACACTTAATCTATCTCTGTTTTACTCTAGTCGTTTCACAATTGATTGATCACTGGGTGACCAATGTCATGCGTGTCTAGTCCTTATTATTAGTGCAGATCGAATGCTATCGATCATGTTACAATGTGGCCACCAGTCTAGGTGACTCGACACCGTGGTAACGTCTCTGACTGTGAAGCTGGGTGACACGGGATCGAATCCTCCAGGAAGCACCAGTTCCCTCGAAGATTACAGGTACACCTTGCTGACGAGTGCCAAGTAGCACGAAACCCGGGTCCGGGGTTTCCTGTCGACTACCTCCAACCACCATCTACTCTAGTCGTTTATTAAGCTAGTCATTCTTGCCTAGAACTTGTCACATATATGCATCGTTTCAAGTTGTTACATCACATTAATACAGCTTGATGAAACTATTAAGACAAACTCCAGAGTAGTAGAAATTCTAACAATATAAATAGCAATAGCAGTAGACAATATTTAAGGTGGATGGTGGTTCAATGAACATTTCTTAACCATTTTAATCAATGGACATTCACTGTATTTTCAATCAATTTTTCATTTTCACCTTAGTACTCTATCTTTAACATCAGCGTCGCTTCAGTGATCTCAACATACTCGAGCTATTCTTCGAAATTACATAAACATATACTAGTAACTTACGAATATCTTCTACGAGTTTTCTATTAATTTACCATCTCTTTAAAAAATGGACAAAAATCATGTCATAATGTACAATTCTGTACAGTGTTAGATTAAGCCTTAAATAATCCAGTCAAAATAAGTGAATATATTTACACAATATTCATTGAATCAACTTCTCAATGACTGTCCATTTACGTTTATTCAATTCTTAATAACTTCAAAACGTTTGAAATATATTTAAAATTTATATAAAAATTCTGTTATTTTCTAACAATTTAATTTAATTTTGAAGGTATCCTTATCAGAAAATTCTAATACAATTGTTCATCCGCCTAGTTTAATTATGCCTATGCCTCGGTCTGTCACTATTGCTACTTCTCCTACTACTACCATGAATAATAGTAATGTATCGTCTAAAACAAACGATCCATCTATAATCAACCAGTTCGATTATTCCAATGCTTCATCTTATGCAAGTAATAACAGTACACCATTAAATAATCAATTGAATGGGTATACAACACTTCCTATGGATGGTGTCTACGATCCAACTAACAGTGCATGGTATCCTGGATATTGGAATTCAAATAATCTATGGGTATCAACAGCAACTGGTCAAGGTGGTTATTTAACAACACCGTTCAATAATAACAGATTATCTTTACCAATTTCTTCATTTTCACCCAACCCACAATCGTTCAACACAGATGAATATGCAGTTCTACATCAACAATATGTAAATGCAATAAATAGTGATTTCACTGGTGTTATCAATACTGGTAATAATAATCATCGCCATCATCATTCAACAGATTTAATAACAAATTATAATCAGTCAAGAGATAGGGCGGTTGTTGTTAGTCAACAATCACAACAAACACTTTTAGCTAATAGTAATAATAACAACACTACTTCATCTTTGCCATCGCTATCATCATCTTCTTCGTCAATAATGCTCACTGCAGCATCTTTATCATCAACACCAGTCAGTAAATTATTATCATCATCGTCGTCACCATCATCAAATCAAAAGGAATATCACACATTATCGTATTACACTAATCCGAAATCAAATGATTCGTTAACTAATTTACAAAATGTTCAATATTGTTCTTATCCTCTACCGTTTTATAATACGAATAACGTTGTCAATATGATAAATAGTAGTCATAATAACAATCATACTACTGCATCTGTTATCACTCATAATAATGCTAATAGTAATAATAACAGTAGTAGTAATAGCAGTAATAATAGTAATAATATGCGTTTAATTTTAACGATATTAGCCAATTCACGAGCAAATACTACCGCTATTGCTACTCCAAATATTGTCCATAGTCCTTATCGCTATAGTCCAGATCGAAATAGTTTATTATGTAATCGTCAAAAGCTATTATCTGTCAATCCTATTTCGTGTAACACAAACACTACTCGATCTATGTGTAAAGCGTTTTCACAATCCGAGTTGGCACGTTTAAACTTAAAGTAAGTAATGTTTGATTTACTATATGTACTACTTTCTTACTTACACTTGTTACCCCTCATGTAGCAGCATAGGCTGTCCACTAGGATTCTTCATCGAACTCTGTTCTGGACAATCATTTCCAGTTACTATTCATTCTTTTGATGTCTGCTTCCAATTCCCGATGCATTTTATTCCTTGGTCTCTTTCCTTTAATTTTCCCCTTCAGGATTCCATGTTAAGGTATGTCTTGTGATGCAGTCTGATGATTTCCACAATGTAGGTCCTATCCACCACTTCCATGGTCTTTCCCTAATTTCCTCCCCAGATGGAAGTTGGTTTGGTTTCTCCCACAGTAGGCTGTTACTGATTGTTATCCGGTCAACGGACATTCAATATCTTGTGTAGACAGTTGTTTATAAATAATTGTACCTTTTTGATGTTTTGGTAGTTTTCGAAGTTTCTGCTCCATACAGTATAACTGTCTTAAAGATCGTACTGAAGATTACGAATTTGATATTGGTTGATGGTTGTTCTGAGTTCCTTATGTTCTTTCATTATATATATAATACAAGATCCTATAGGTGACCGTGAATTTGTAGCGCATTCGCCTTTGAATGCCCAATATGTACCATTTTTCCGTTCATTTACTAAGTAAATGTTGGATATAAGGGAATAATTGCCAGTCAAGATTTCACTTCAAGCTGTAGCTCCCACTTGATTTACTTTTCTTCACCTAGCGAGTTGGAATGAGCTATAGTATCATGTTCATAGAAGACATATGAAGATAACTTAAGATGATTGAAATGAAATCCTCAGTTAAAATTATGCTCTTCTGTACTTCACTGACCGACTAAATGAACGTGGAAAAATATTCAAAATTGCTAGATATTAAACCTTTATAGAACATTGGAAAATGGATGATTATTTTCACACCGTCATATAGATAAGTAATATAATTATAATACAATAGAGCTAACTGTGCTTTGCGTTTAAATCCATCAAATTCCAACCACTGGGTATCATGTCCGAACGTAACTGCATTTACTTCCGTTTAGCAAACGTAGGTATGATCATCAGTTGTCACACACTGGTTCAAGTACCTAGGCATACATACACACATAGAATCGCTATATACTAATTGAAGTAACTATTGACTCATTGCTGATACTTTTTCCAACTCTTCAGTATAAACATTGATTATTTTTCACCGAGTATTGTTCGTTCCGATTTTTCTAATCAATAACTGCATGATGTAGGTAATGTTAGGAAAATAAGCTAAAGCTGTATCACACAGAGTATGACCTGCCAAGATATATATTCATATATGTCAGTCCTAGTGATCGTATTTTATATCAGCACAGCGAAAGAGAACGCCCACACTATGAGATACAGTTACAATTCAAATCTTAATATAAGAAATACTGTGATAAAAATATCTTGGAAGAAAAGAGTTAGTAATTACACTTGACTTAATATTTAGTGAATTACAAGGGCTGGCAAAATGCTTATGCAGTGATCGTGATCAGTGGTGCGTAGCGAAAACACAAGAAATAGAAAAGGTAGCTGCTATAGGTAACAATAGACAACTGTTTAAAAAATCAAGAAATATCCATTAAAAATCTGGCTGTAGGTGGGGTTTTTTTCTGAAAAAGACGGAACTATTATTAACTCTCAACGTAGGATATTGCCCCGATGAGCATAACACTAAGTAATAATGAATCTTCATTAACTGAGTTGGTTGGAAAATGTGTTACGTGTGCACACACCCCCATCTGCCTTGACAGATGATGTCGGCTGGTGTATGAATAGGTTGAAGGAAATCTAAGGATGGACAAAATGAGATGTTCCACTAGTCGATGAAGTTATTGGTATGTAGACTGAACAATGTGAGCAGATACAGACTACCTAGTCCGGCCTCGCAAAACTTTCGTAACCAACAGTGTAAATTTATATGGTGCATTCATCTAAATAACTTGAATACATTAATTCCACTCCTGAAATCATATCGTTGATACAACTATGAAGTAGTTTTATCGGTGGAATTTCAATCGTTTTTCTGAAATTTTGAAACACATTCCTCTTATTTCAATAGATCAAAGTCACGAATACATATATTTGTATTTGGCCACTGAGTTGCATTTAATCTATTCACTTAGTTTGACCAATATATAATAGATTTTTGATTACATCCTGTCCCATTTTTTGTTAAAGATCAATGTAGACTTTTTATAGAATAAATTAATCCTCAACATTAGACTGTGTATTTTTTTCCAGTTTTATAGTCTCACTTATATTTTTTCTCATTTTGTAATATCAAAATGACTTGTTTTTGAAATATAATAGACAAGGTATAAGTCGACTGACTTATTTATTTATTTATTTGAACACATAAATATTGGTACAAGGGGCCACCAAATATATGTGCGCCACACAAAACAATGAGAATTTAAAGAGAAGGGAAAAAAAGGTAAGGAGCGTAAGGAATAAAAAACGAGAGAACAATAACGGCTAGATTAGTGTGAGGTAGTGTAATAATAGTAATAATAGGGGAAACGAAAAGGTAAAATCAGAAGAAATCTTTCAGTTAAGAAAGAAGCAACCGCTTTTTACGAAGAAAGTAAAAGAAGGTTACAGCAGGGTCGCCGCTGGCTTCTATTTTGAGCCATATCTGATGACGTTTCTAGCCATTGTGTTACACCATCTCTCGGACCCCAGCCCCCAAATGCCCTGGTACGGCCGAGAGTGGGGAGAGTCCGCTCTTCCTCTCGAAATGCTCTCACATGGCCATGCGTATATAGCCTCTGCCAGGGAAGTCCTACTCACTGCCTTCTCGTGGCACCGGTGTTGTTTACGAAAATGAGAGGACGAAAAGTCAATGTCCGGCGCTTTAACCGGATCCCAAAACAATGGTGCACATGGGCTCCAGTATCCTGAATGAACAAATGGCGTATGAACCAATTTCTTGATCACCGGCTTACATGGGACTGCATCTTCTCACAATGCTCCACTGCCTTGTGGGTTAGATCTTTAGGTCGAAGGCTCGGGGTGTGGGCCCTAAGAAAACCACCTGCTTCGGTCTGGGCACCCGGGCAGTATCACAGCCCTCACACATATCAATTGAGATTTGTGTGACGCATATGTATTTGGTCCGTCTTTGTACCAATACTTATGTGTTAAAATAAATAAATAAATAAAAAGGGAGTCGTGAGGGACCAACACAAGCCAGCTCTTTGCAGCTTTCTTTCATACCACGACACCATGTCATATAGTGACCACCTCTCTGCTCTTTTCAACCAGTCCCAGAGTCGGCAAATAATTCACGACGTGGGATTCTCTGGAACGACATTCGTAGAACATGTCGAAGCCACCGAAGTCGGTGTTTCATAATGGTGACACCAATTGGATCGCCGTCTCTGTGCCCGAACACACGATGCCGACCCTCTGCATAACTAACATGGTGTTGCCACTGAATGTCAGCAATCCTTCGGAGACAGCGATGATCGAACATAGAGAGTCGTTTAACGTCCTCAACTCGGAGAGGCCAGGTTTCACAAGCATAGAGCAAAACGGCTCTCACCGTCGCGTTGTAGATCCGACCTTTTACAACCAGACTAACATCACGAAGGCGCCAAAGATGGTCCAGATTGGCATAAGCCGCTCTGGCTTTTACTATGCCTGCATTGGTCTCATCACTCACGCCACCACCAGCACTTATGCAGCTACCTAGATACACGAACTTCTCGACCACTTCTATCTGCTCACCATCCAGAGTGAGTACAGGATTAGAATCCTGCCAGTCTTGTAAAAGTACTTTGCACCTCGAAGGTGCCAAGCACATACCATACCTACAGACATTGATTGCCAACTGATTAAGTGCGGATTGCATGGTTTGAGCATTCTCGCACAGTAAGACAATATCATCCGCATACTCAAGGTCGAGAAGTCTTTCTCCAGGCAACAGATCCACACCACCATTACTTACATCCATCAGAGCTGTTTCCAGAATGTCATCGATGGCAAAGTTGCAGAGGAATGGTGAGATTGGGCGACCCTGCCTAACTCCACTGCTCGAATGGAACAATGGAGAGAGGTGGTTGTATGCCCTCACTCTGCCTGAGGTGTTTGTATATAAGGCTTTTAGGATGTTAATAAACTTCTCAGGCACACCCCTCTTCAATAGACAATCCCAGAGAACAGTTCTGTCCAACGAATCGAAGGCAGCCCTGATATCAAGAAACACTACGATTGTTGGCCTTTGATAAGTATGACGGTGTTCTAACATTTGATAGAGGGTGAAGATATGATCAATACATCCTTGACCAGAACGAAACCCAGCCTGCTCCTCGCGAGTCAATCCTTCTCGGGTTCTGAACAACCTACGAAGTATGAAGGAAGCTAATAGCTTGCACGCAATCGGAAGTAGACTTATCCATCGATAGTTGTTACAGGAACGACGTGAACCCTTTTTAAAGATAGGGACAACTATCGACTCATTCCATGACGTTGGTACACTCTCTAGTTCCCAGACCTTTGTAAACAACGTCGTCAGTCCGTTAGTCAGAAAGTCACCACCATCTTTAAAAAGAGCCGGAGGTAAGTCATCTTGGCCCGGTGATTTGTAGCGTTTCAAGAGTTGGAGTTCCTTGCGGACTTCCGCCTCATTTGGTGGATCAGTCGTCACCGGTCATGGAGGGCAGGACAGTCTGACCGATGTTACCGGAGCATCAGGCCAGTTGAACTGTCCTTCGAAGAATTCTGCCCATCGTCCATGACGTCGGTGGATTTTAGTGATTGGCGTTCCGTCATCTTCGCAGATTGTTTCACTCACACCAGACTTCTTGCTGCCAGTGGCTCGGATGAGTTGGAAGAGCTTCCGGTAATTACCAGATGCAGCTGCTGCTTCCAGCTCATTAGCACGCTCCGACCACCAGGCTTCTCGGTCCTTACGCAAGCTTTGCCCGATTTCATTACGTAACATCCTTCGTTTGTGGTCAAACTCACGGTCACCCGGAGTAGACCG